TCCTCTCATGTTGGTACATCACAAATATGTGGTTCAAAGTTCCGATGAAATGGGTCCAAGGTGTTTCAAACTAGGCCGCGGAAGTTATGCGAAAACAGGCGCGGAGGCCGTTCGGAGGATGTATAACTGGTTGCTGCAACAATTGCGGCCCGCTCCAACCCTTCAACTGACCTCCCTGGGATAAATAATGAGCGTTACCTCGCACCCAAACAAAAAAAAGAATGAACGAAAACCAGTTTGCAAAACGAAATGCCTCGGGGAGAGCGCGAGAGAGACACACGCAAGTTCTAGATCCCGAAAATGGGCGTTAAGACCGAGAAGCTGGCATTCCGGCCCACCGAAGTGGGTCTGCTAACCGCCCCCAGTGGTACCCTCAAAAGCACCACACACCACACTGCCAAAATCAGCGAGCAATAGGAAGATGGTTAAGCGGTCCCTGAACCGAGGCACAAACGCGCCAAAGCGCGTCCGAAAAACGCGGTAAGAAACCGGAACTCCGAAAATGGGCAAATGGCTAACGGCACCGAAATGTACCTCGGACATTGAGAAGATGGTCCTACGGGACTCTCCTCCTCAACCTCTAAAGGAAAAGAAAGAGAGGAAACCTGACGTCTGGCCTCGGCACGACCGAGACAACGGCAAGCAGAAACAGGCGTTCGGGAAATCCGGCAGCGCAAGGTACTGTCTGGACACTTGAGCAGACGTCTAAACACAGGCCCGATGACTTGCTGATATACCACTTCTGAACCGGATGCACATCCATCGAACATCACCAACCGCTAACTGAAGACTCGGTGACTGTCCCTGTAGTCTTAAGGTCGGTCATATGAAATGGGTGTTGTCTACACGTTTGGCATACTGAGTTTCATTCCAATACCCCAGGGAATAGCCCAGAGCCTCAGAAACCTCAGGCAAGAATCGACAATCCTAATTCCTGACTCCACAGAGACTTAGTCAAGAATCATGATTCTGGCTCATACACTCCCGAGCTCCAAGAACTAGACAGGATATGCTGCCCCCTCCTGTTGTCAAACGAGACGATGGTGCCTTCAATGCCATCCAAATGCTGCTGATAGATGGGTTCAACATCCGATTGCGGTCAACGACCGTCATCGAATAGATGGAGCTCACAAGATTATAGTCCCGCGCGAGACGCCTCTCTGAGTTGGCGCGAAAAAATCCTGAAAGTGAGAATGAGTCCATCGTGGTTTAAGCCTTGTATTGTATGAACTAATATGTGATGTTTGACATGATTCGTTAGTTGATGATTAGCACGTACTGCTTAATGCCAAGCTAGAGTTGTTAGTCCGAAGTCACTGTTTCCATGGCTTGCTGTGATGAAGAAAATCACCATTACACTACTTATGTCGAGGAGGATTCCTTATATATACCTGCGCAATGTTACTAACTTGCTAACTACACGGAGATCAAATGATTAGATCTGAAGTTCAAAACCACACAAGGAACACATATCTAGGTGTAGAATTATATTATCATGCGCAATAAGGCACATTGCGGGGAATGAGCCTGCAATATAGCTTAATATAACTTCTCCTCTCCGATACAATAGAGTGGTAACCACGATACAGTCAGTTCATTCTGAGAAATCGATACACTCATGAGAATCTGCCATAGCGAGATGTCCAATCCATCTTAGAGCATCTATGACTTGCCTACCATCTTCTTCTTTTGCATCTCACCCAATCTGAATCTTGATGCAGCACTATAGCCAAAGACACAAAAAGGACATTAAGCAGATTTATATACTTTTCAACAAAATTATTATAGTTATATTCATTCTTAAGATAAAGAAAAGTATTAGGCTAACGAGGAAGCTCTATAATCTGCCTAGGTGCCAGCATTTCGAACTTTCAGCATTTTTTATTCAAGAACTCTTCAATTTTCCACCTGGCACAAGATATTTAATTTTATTTGAACTGTAATGTAAGATGTTGATTTGCTTATATTCTATAAGTAATATAAATTGTATATGGATATCACGTCTGAGACTATAAACATGTGCTCCCACCTTATCAGCGTGTCCAAGGATTCCGGTTCAAACAGTCTCTAGCAGAGCGCAACTCGGAGCTTTGCCAGCGCACGAATACTTGATAAAGCAATACATCCTCCTACCAGCACATGAACGTCTCACAACACTAGGTGATTGTATACCTCTGTTTGAGATAGTAGTATCGACCGAATCCCGAACACAATCGGTCACTCTCCTTCTTGGGAAGTGGGTACGCTATTCAATATTTGGTAGATGTGTATAAAGAGAACATTCTTATTCAGCTAGAGATGCAGACTGAGGGCTCGGACACACTAATCAGTAAGTTTGAAAGTGGGCAGACAACTATAATCCAGGACTATGGAACATCTAATCATCTCTGTTGAAGCTCTTGGCCTATCTTGGACTCTGATAACTGACAACTAGTAACCCGTGCCTCTCCTGGAACTTATGAGTAATCAATATGCCATACGGATCTAAACTTGGGTCTGTGGGCAACGAAGTCGACGGCTGGTTTCAAAGGCCGAAATTCATAAGGCTATATCGAGAAAGAGTGACAGACATTTGGATAGTTGGACTCCGTGTCCGACAATACCTAGACTTATAGCATCTCAATTATACTCTTGCGCAACTCAAGTAGATATGTACACTGTAGAT